CATGGTCATCTGATACCTATTGAACAATCTCTTATTACCCCTTTACAACAAGAAGGTGAGAGTTCCTCTAGAACTCGTATTTGAGGTTGAGGCCGGGGACAAGGTCGCGGAAGAAACAATAAAATTGTCGAGCAAAAGAGTCCAATCATCAACATTAGTTTGGAAGACAGTTTTGAAGATGAAAAAATAAGGAAAAGCGTAACAACGATTAACCAAAAGAAACCTCTTTTTGAAATTGATTTAGAAGACGAAGAGAAACATGATTATGGTTCAATGTACGATCGGATTAATCGCTATGTACAAACTATGACCCTCACCCCGATTTCTACTCATAAAATTTAGGGTCAGATGGTCAAAGAAGTACATAGTGCAGGTATGAAAGCAATTAAGTTTCATCATGGTTCTTCATCCTCTATTTCTGAAATCAATGTAGAACTAGAAGATGAGCTTTCTTCCGAGTTAATGGAATTACCTGTTGATTGGTACTCGCCTTGTGTTCAAAATTTTGCTCAGCGCGGTTTGGTACCTAAGCAATGGTCAAAAAATCAATCACAATACTTTGAGAAACTTTGGAATAATGATAATCAAGCCTTTAATTCCAAACAATGTCTTGGATTCGGCATGGTAGAGTCTGTTGATGATACAGAATTTTGTTTAGTTGTTACTAATGGACATGAAAAAGATTATTTGGAAGTTCTGAACAACTATGAAGAGTCTATAATTGAGTTTGCCCCACCTGAATTGGAACAAGTGATTAAATCAATAGCAGATGAGTTACAAGAAATTATCCTGGCTACCGAAAAGGAACCGAGGCCAATTTTTATTAGCTCTCTACTTGGTGAAGAAGAATCTATAAATATGATTAAGCTGTTGACAAAGTTCAAAGAATGTTTCACTTGGAGTTATGAGGAAATGCCCGGATTGGCGCTAGAAGTTGCAGTACACAAACTGAGCCTAGATCCTACCGCTACTCCACTTAAGCAAGCTTCAAGAAGAATGCGTCTTGATATTGAACAACAAGTTATAAATGAAGTCAAGAAGTTAATAGATGAGGAAGAACAATATCTTACGTGTTTGGCTAGTATAATACCAGTTAAGAATAAAAATGGACAAATTCATATCTGTGTGGACTTCAAAGATTTGAATAAAGCATGACCAAAAGTTGAGTTTCCTCTTCCAATCCCAGAATTGATGGTGGATATTGCATCATCTCATGAAATTTTCTCTTGATGGATGGATTGTCTGGGTATAATCAAATAAAAATGGCTCCAGAAGATAAAAGATTTACCGCTTTCCGAATGCAAATTGGAGTTTATTGTTATACCGTAATGACTTTCGGATTGAAGAACGCTATTCCAACATACCAACGAGTGATGACAAGGATCTTTGCTGAACTCATTCATAATTAAGTGGAATGTTATGTGGATGATTTAGTCATCAAAAGCAAGCAAAAAGAAGATCATTTGTACAATTTGAGAATTTTCTTTGAATGGCTACGACAATTTAACCTTAAAATGAATCCCCTAAAGTGCGCCTTTGGCATTACCTTCGAGTGTGACTTCTGGGAAATTTTTAGGGTTTTTTGTTCACCACCGCAGGATTGAGATTGACCCAGGTAAGATTAAAGCCATCTTGGAAATACCACCCCCTAAAATTTAAAACAATTACGATATTTCAAGGGAGGCTGGCGTAATTAAGACTCTTTATCTCTAACTTGTCAAGTAGTTGTCATGTAAATGTCAACCTTTTTCTATGTTGACTAAAAAGGATGCAAAGTTTACTTAGGATAATAAATGTCAACGCGCTTTCAAGAGCATTAAGCAATGTCTAACGATACCTCTTGTCTTGGCAGCACCTATTTTGGGCAGACCTTTAATACTTTATACCGCAACTTTGGATGACTCCCTCGGAGCTCTCTTAGCCCAAGTCAACGACGAAGGAAAAGAGAATGCTCTTTATTACTTAAGCCATTGTTTAATTCTACAAAAAATGAGATATCCTCCGATCGAGAGACATTGTTTGGCTTTAATCTTCGCAGTTCATAAACTCCGTCATTACATGCTTTCTCACAAAGTCAACCTTATCTTGAAGTTTAATTAGTTGCAATATTTAATGACCCGACCAATGCTTTCAGGTAGGTTAGCAAGATGGGCCATGGTATTTTTGCAATTTAATATAACTTTTGTTCCACTCCAAGCTGTGAAAGGACAGATTTTAGTAGACTTCCTAGCAGGACACCCATTACCGGCTAGTTCCCCTCTCAATGATGATTTGCCAGATGAACAGATAATGGACGTGGAAAATTCTAAGACTCAACGTTTGGAACTATATTTTGATGGAGCTTCTTCAGCACAAAGAGATAAAGAATTGCAAACAATAATACCTGGTAAAGCAGGGATTGGATTAATCTTCATTACACCGGAAAAGGGGATGTTAAGGTATTCTTATCATTTGACAGAACCGTGTACGAATAACGAAGCAGAGTACGAAGCGTTGATAACAGGGTTACAATTAGCAATATTAATGAGTATAACTAACATTAATATTTAAGGAGATTCACAGTTGGTCATTCAACAGATTGCTGGGCAATACAGAATTTTGAATCCCAAATTGGAACAATATCATCGTTATACAATGAAATTATTAGAATAGATTCCAGACGTGACAATATGTAGAATCCCAAGGGAAGAAAATACTCTCGCAGATGCTTTGACTAAACTTACCAAGGAATTTGCATGTCCACAAGAAGATTCCATTAAGATCACTGTTCAAGGACTTCAGATTTTGTCCCAGATTGATGTAGATACTTTGGATAAATTGGGTAAAGAGAAAATAGTATGACAACTACCGAAATTGTAGAAGACTGGTGTCAACCTTGCACATAATATTTACAAACAGGAAAGCTGCCAGATGATAAGTCAGTAGCATATTAAATAAAAAAGAGAGCTCTATCATATGCTTTAATAGATAATGTTCTTTACCGAAGATCTTTCGACCAAATGTGATTGAGGTGCTTGAATGCTATAAAAGCTCAATAAAACATTAAAGAGGTACACTCAGGACTTTGTGGCACTCGTCAGTAAAGTCTGAAGATGAAAATGAAATTAAAAGACTAGGATATTACTGGACCGCGATGATGACCGACTGTATGAAATTTGCCAAAAGTTGTCACCAATGCTAAGTACATGGAGTGGTCTTACATCACCCCCCAAATGTGTTACACCCGACAGTTGCGTCATGGCCATTTGAATGTTAGGTCAATTATGTGGTGGGTCCTATAGACCCTCCATCTTCAATGGGACATCGATTCATCCTAGCCGCTACTGATTACTTCTCAAAGTGGGCAGAAGCAATACCGTTGAGAGAAGTAAGAGCATTACATGTCTTCAGTTCTTCAAGTACCAAATTGTCTATCGTTTCGGAATACCACGTAGAATTATCTCAGACAACGGGTCTTCATTAAAACGCATGAAGATTAATACTTTTTTCAGAAGACACGGAATTGAATGGCGTTATTCTACAATTTATTGTCTGAGAGCTAATGGATTGGCCGAGGTTTTTAATAAGACTCTCATCCAAATTCTAAAAAAGACCTTGGATGAAAACAAAAGGAATTGGCACGAGCAGTTATTAGAAGCCTTATGGGCCTATAGAACTACGTTCAGAACTCCAACCCAGTCTCAACCCAGTCTACCCAGTCTACACCTTACGCTCTTGTGTATGGGTCTGAGGCTATGTTACCGTTAGAAGTTCAACTTCCTTCTCTCAGAGTTATCGTTGCCAACAAAATCACTACTGAAGAAAATGCCAAATTATGACTGGAAGAATTAGATAGTTTGGAAGGAAAACAATTGGTAGCACAATAAAATTTGGAATTGTATCGAGCCAAGATGATTCAAGCACATGACAAATTGGTCCGCCCCAGGACTTTTAAAGTTGGTGATTTGGTTCTTGTCCTTAGAAGACCTATCCTTGCACATCGCAAGATAAGAGGTAAATTTGAACCAACCTGGGAAGGACCGTTCGTGGTCATGATTGAAAGGGTTTACTCTGGAGGAGCATACCAATTGATAAATTGTCAAGGAGAACGACCTATGCTTCTTATTAATGGACGATATCTGAAGAAATACTTTGCGTCATGATGTTTCGAAAGAGCAAACTTTAGAAATAAAGTCTTGTTCTTAGAAACATCGATGTTCTAGTTGCAAAGGGGTTCAAACATAAATTTGCAATAAAAAATTTTGGAATAATAAAAAAAAACTAATTTTGCAATATATTTTATATATATAACTTGATTTATGACTTTTTTATTGTTTTGTTTTTTTCACCTTTCTTATTTCATGTTAGTTCGATCATAAAAAAAAAATAAACTTAATACGTGTATACAGGTATGTATATATATATACATAAATATAAATTAAGATATGTACATAAGAAATACATTTTGTAATATACATGTATATAAATATATATATATATTTATATAAATCATTAAAATATAAAAATTTTTATATTGTTCTTGCTTAAAAGCCCGGTATGACATACTGATCGTTTTCCTATTTTAATGCACGAGAATGTCAGGAGAAAGACTGATCTTCACATTCAAAAATGGCATTGGTTTTGCCCTTGATAAGACAAAATTTGAAGGAGCGGTGGTTGAATTTGATTTCAACTTCGATTAAATCGAGCTAGACTACGAAAGCTCAGCATAACTGTGGTGAACAAAGATGAATTTTGTAAGCAGAGGCCTGTGCTAAAATTCAACAATATAGAAATTAGAAAGAATTGATAAGGCTGAATAAAGCAATGCTGCAATTAATCGGATGAAGTCAATAATAATGGCCTCTAAGGGCTAGCTTGTTGGTGCTACTCCTACTGATGATCAGCCGGAAGGTAAGGAAACACTTACTCGTACGCAGAAGAGGAATTGAAATCGCCGTATCCATAAGATGCTAGAACAATCGAAAGAACAAGGGGAAGACAAAGATACAATTGCTCAGATGGCGATCAAATTAAAAGGGAAAACCCCAGATCAGCCAGTTGAAATGCCACCTCAACCCATGAAAACTGGAGGAGGGGTGATTTTAAAGGAAAAAGAGATTGAGGAAAGAATCATGCAAGTTGAACCTTATATTCCCCAATTTGTGAACATGACACGTCCTTTGCAGATCATTCCAGAGCACGAATTGGAGAAATATGAAAAGGTGAGAAAGCAAAATTTTGATCACTTTCAAAGGTTTCAGGGCAAGTATGTTAATATACTTGAAGGGTTGGAACTGCACACCAATGTGTTCACCAGCAGTGAACAGGAGGACATTGTAGAAGTGTTTTTCTTGGAGCGAGAAATGGGTCGTGCTGGTCGGCTAAGAAGAAGGACATATTTTGAGCCGAGAAAATGGAAACGGGGTGAAGGAAGAGTTACGATCCAATACGATTGCTGTTACAATTTTACCAAAAATAAAGAAGGAAATCCTCCCAGAATAATTCGTCATGATGAGGTTGACCCGTTACCATCATTCATCAAAAGAACAATCAAACGATTGGTGACCTGGCATATACTTCCAGCAGATTGTATCCCAAACAGCTGTATAGTTAATATCTACGAAGCTGGTGACTACATTCCTCCACACATCGATCATCATGATTTTGCAAGGCCATTCTGCACGATATCATTTATAAATAAATGCAACATCATGTTTGGAATAGAAATTCAAATTATTGGTGATGGAGAATTTCAAGGTTCCGTAGAAATTCCTTTGCCTGTGGGCTCTGTGTTGATCTTAATGGGAAACAACACTGATGTGGCCAAACACTGCATCCCTGGAGTGCAATATCTGAGGGTTTCAATAACCCTCAGAATGATGAATGAGGATAAGGTACCATTCCGGTTCAGACCTGATCCTGAGATCGAGAACTTGCAGCCTTTTGAGTTGTAAGTTGTTTAAAGACAACACACCTCAATATATATCTAGGAGAGATCGTTTCTATTTTTCTGATGATATGTTAGAAAGTGAGGCTAGTCCATATAAAGACTTCTATTTCAACATAACTGCCGATGACAAAATACATTTAGATGATACACAAGACTGGATTCAATCATGTGTCTTCAGTATTGATGAATAAGAAAGTATTTTGATATATGAACTAACACAGTAATGATTCCAGAGGATGTTTTGATTACATGAAATCAAACAACATTGTATTCGACAATAGATTATATTCATTATATAACAGTTGGAAGATAATATATTGGAACTTCTTTTCGCAGATTGTGAATGCAGATTTGGGCAATTGATTGAGAAGATAAATAAATTTGATTTGCCCTAATTCTGAGAAAGGTTAGCAAGCAAAGAACGATATATATATATATATAATATAATAATCATCATGAAAATTCAAAAGAAATTTTTTGCTTAACTATTCCCTTTTGTCACAAATTGATCGTTTCTATATTTTCTTGGGTTTGATTTCCTCTCTCACAATTTTGCAAACCTTCACATGTTTCGACATTCCTCTTACACTCTCACTTCGAGGTCAGTACCTAAATTCTAATTCCCTCCTTTCGAGGTCGGTACCTAAATTCTGATTCACTTTTAGAGATTGATACCCAAATTTCAACTCTCATTTCGGGGTCAGTACCTAAATTCTGATTCCCTCTCTTTGAGGTCAGTACCTAATTTCTGATTCTCTTTTTGAGGTTGATACTCAAATTTCACCTCTCATTTACCTAAATTCTGATTCCCCCTCTTTGAGGTCGGTACCTAAATTTTTATTCTCTTTTCGAGGTTGATACCCAAATTTCAACTCTCATTTCTGGGTCAGTACCTAAATTCTAATTCCCTCTCTTCGAGGTCGGTACCTAAATTTTAATTCCCTTTTCGAGGTTGATACCCAAATTTCAACTCTCATTTTAGGTCCAGTACCTAAATTCTGATTCCCTCTCTTCGAGGTCGGTACCTAAATTCCGATTCTGTTTTCGAGGTTCATACCAAAATTTCAACCTTCATTTTGGGGTCAGTACCTAAATTTTGATTTCCTCTCTTCAAGGTCGGTACCTAAATTCCGATTCTCTTTTCAAGGTTGATACCCAAATTTCAACTTTTATTTCGGGGTCAGTACCTAAATTTTGATTTCCTCTCTTCGAGGTCAGTACCTAAATTCTGATGCTCTTTTTCAGGTTGATAAGAAAATTTCAACTCTCATTTCGGGGTCAGTACCAAAATTCTGATTCCCTCTCTTCAAGGTCGGTACCTAAATTTTGATTCTCTTTTCAAGGTTGATACCCAAATTTCAACTCTTATTTCAGGGTCAGTACCTAAATTCAAATTCCCTCTCTTTGAGGTCGGTACCTAAATTTTGATTCTCTTTTCGAGGTTGATACCCAAATTTCAACTCTCATTTCGGGGTCAGTACCTAAATAATGATTCCCCTTGATCAGCTCTTGAGTTGGATATGAGTCCCCGTGCTTTCGTCCTCAATCTGATCTTTCTCGTTATTACTTAGGTTGGATGTGAGTCCCAGTGCTTTCCTCCCTAATGTAGCAAATATATTTTCCTTGTCACTACTTAGGCTGGATGTGAGTCCCAATGGTTTCCTCCCTAATGTAGCAAATATATTTTCCTTTTCACTAGCTAGGTTGGATGTGAGTCCCAATGCCTTCCTTCCTAGAGTGACATATATTCTACTATCGCATCTTAACTCGGATATAACTTCCCTAGCAGTATTCCGAGTTGATATAGTCTTCCTGCTTCACTTATTTCTCTAAATCCTTTGGGATAATATTTAATCCTGATTCTCCTTCCACACATTCTTTGATATTATTGTCAAATGTTGAATCTTCCTTTTGCACATATCTCAAAAGCAATTTAAAAATTCAAATTCATGACAGCCATTTCAAGATATGCTGGCCAATCCCCAACAAAAATCCTATTCTATCTCAATTCGAACTTGACATTCGATTTGTCCCAAGTTTGGTTATTTGGACATTCTTGAGGAATTGGGTTGATCATTTTGGTCAACGCCAACAGGCGCGTCGTGCTTGTGTAGCACACCACACCTATTGGGGGTCCATTTGTTGATCTCATTTTTGAGGTCTTCTTTTCCCTTCTCTAGCTACCCTAGGATCTAGCCTTAAGATCTCCCAATTTTGACCCTCTTAGAGGACTGGATTGGGACACACCCTCCTTAGAAATTTAAGCCATTTCTTCACTCCTTGCAATTTCATATGGACGATTTCAGATCTTCAATATTTGATTCTGTCGATCAAAAAGCTGACATATTGAAGCTCAAATTGAGCTTCTATAGAAATTTGAAAGACATTGGTAAACACTGTGACGTGCGCGACATTTGAGTTGTCACTACGAGCATCGTATTTAGCTTTGGTTGTTGCATATGCGAGTACCGATCAATTTTTTTTATCTTACTCGTTAAACGACTTTGATCAAGTCAAAACAATTTTATTTGACGTGGCGCACGTGAATCGAAGTTAATTTGGCACGATCATCGATGAATTTGTCCGGATAAATTTGAATGATAAAACGAACTACGTCGTTGCGTCCAGGACGTCAATTTTAGCTAGGGAGGACACCCATTTCGTTAGGGCATCGTGCACGAGTAAATCACACACAATTCTTTATTTTTTACATTATCTTTAAAAAAAATTTATTTAGTAAAATTTTCTTTTATATAAAAGATATTTTATAAATTTTTTTTTATCCTTCTCACATGCGCTCCCCTTTCTTTTGGGATCGAAATATGCCCTAGCCCTTTGTTCTTCCCTGCCAAGCGATGGCCCTACTTCCAGTTTCTCCGGTCACCATATTCCTCTCCGGTGGCGGCTTACCTTCTCCTCCGGTCATAACTGCCGTTCACTTTATTGTAATGGATTTTCCCACCTAAACGAGTCTGGTAACCTTCTTGTTCTTGAATTTGAACGTTCTCTTGAGCCCTGGCCCCCTCGATGGCTATAAATACCCCTTTATGGGAAGCATTTGAGGGATTTTCTTTATTTTTCCTTGGAAGTTTTGGAAGAGATATAGTGCTACAATTTTTTTTTCCTGTTTGGAAGCGTTCTTTCTTGCAATTTCTTGTCCACCCTCTCCTTTCTTAATTTAGCAAGAAATTCAGGTTAGAGGTTATTGGTTTTGAGATTTGGATGTTTTAAGTCTTGTTTTGATGGCTTGATGCTGTGATTCTATCTTGATGGAAATATTTAGAGCTACTTTCTCTATTCTTATGCTACTCTAATTCAAACATGTTTAGGGATTATGTTCTTTTATTTTATTTTTAAATAGATTTGAGGGTTTGTTTTCCATGATCTTCTTGCTACCCTCATTCAAAATATATAGAAGTTTATATTTAATTCTTGTGAACTTATTTGGGGCTCGGGTTTTGATCTCTTTGCTGCCCTATTCAAGTGCATATGTTGAATCTCTCTTTTTGATTTCTTGAAGAAGATTTAGGGCTGATTATTTTGTTCCTTTGCTGCTTTAATTGGAAACATGTTGGAGCTCTCTTTTTTATGTCTTGAAGAAGATTTAGGGCTGATTATTTTGTTCCTTTGGTGCTTTAATTGAAAACATGTTGGAGCTCTCTTTTCGAGTTCTTGATGAAGATTAGTGGCTGATTACTTTGTTCCTTCGCTGCTTTAATTGGAAATATGTTGGAAATTACCTTTCGAGTTCTAGTTGAAGATTTTGGGTTGATTATTTTGTCTTCTTATTGCCTTATTCAAATACATCTATTGGAGGTTTCTCTTGGGTTTAAATATTAGTTTGAAGTTGTATTTTTGCTCTTTCTTATTATCTTGTTCGAGCATATGTTGGAAACTCTTTTCCTTTAATATGAGAGGTCAATTAAGGGGTCAGGTTTCTGCGTTTCTTGTTGCCCCTATTCACATGTATATTAGAGACATATTGTTGAATTTTGAACATTTATTTTGAAGCTGATTTTTGTACTTCTTGATTTTCCCATTTGAATAAATACACTGGAAATCATATCTTGGTTTTAAAATATAGTTTGAAAACCATGGTTCTTAGCTTTCCTTGCTGCCTTTTTCAAAAATAAGTTGGGAAATGGTATTTTAACTTTGAAATTTATTTAAGAGCCACGGTTTTGCTTCTTGCTGCCCTTTTATTCGAGTATGAACATTGAAAATATTTTGGTGCTTTGAGTAACTGTATGGGGGCTCGGTTTTTGCTCTCTTTGTTTCCCTTTGTTTAAATACATGATGAAAACCACTTTTATTACTTGAGATGCATGTGGGGGCTCGGTTTATGCATTCTTTATTTCCCCTTGTTCAAACACCTGCTGGAATATACTTTTATGGCTCGAAAATATACACTTGGGGCTCCGTTTTGATGCTTCTTGCTGCCTTCCTTGTTCAAATACTTACTGGAATTCATTTTTATGATTTGAGATATATACTTGAGACCCAAATTTTGTCCCTTTTGCTGCCCTTTGTTCGAGGATATATTGAAAACCTTCCCTTAACTTTGAGAGTTAATTTTAAATGCTATAATCTCTATTTTCACATGGAAAATTTAAAGGAGTATGCAATAATCTTATGTACAGCTTCACAATTTGAGCTTAAAGGTAGAAAGTGGATGCTATAGAAATGCTTAAATAGATACTTCTCTCATTTCTCTTGATATGGAATGTACAAAATCTTGTTGGATGAGCATATGAAATATTGAGGTGGCCTATTAACAGGCGATGATGCAAAGAACCATTTGACAACTTAGTTTATAGCTGAAATATAAAATCAATACTCAATTAGTGTGATGCCCTTTCATCCCTACATCGTCAACAGCTCTAACCCCTCTCAAAGTGCCTGAGAATTGGTATTTAGAAAAGAGCAAGTACTACGAATCTTTGCATAGATACTACACTTAGGAAAGAACAGATACTACGGGTTTTACACAGATATTACACTTGC